TCAGCTTCGCCTATACTTCGAACAATAAGAACAACATTCACGAAAGAGAAGACCAATATTCCCCATACACATTCAAGAAGCCATGTGCAAAAAGCACGACCAACGCACTGCACAGACAATAACAACTAGCAAATAAATTTCTATTAGTTTTCTAGACTTTGCACAGGGTTTTTCTTCGTTATTATCATTCGTGTGTGTATGTATGTGGTTTGAAAGTTGAGCAGAACAACAACGAAGCAATGCAAAGCACAGCAGATCGAAGCCTGCACAGAGAAATCTCAAGAACGGCACTATTTTATTGTAAATTTGCTGTGATGTTTGCATTATTCGCTTCCATTTGAAATGAGATGAGATGAGCACGAGCATGTCGTGTGTTTTTCTTTTGAATTTGCTTCTACATTGAATTTCTTTCGAAGCAGTGAATGAGAGAAGCTCGAGTACACGCACAATGTGTGCACTCACAGAACACACACTATACACAATTGAAATGATGGGATAAGAAAACAAGCTAAGGAAAGAAAACTCGAGAGCTGGGATAAAAACACAACAGTAAAAATAATCTCAGCAAGAGAGCGAATTTTCTTGAGAATCAGCACATTTCCAATGTTATTTTCTATCTCCTTTTTTGAGGCAGCTTTTTCTCGTTCCGTGATGCTGCTGCTGCTGCTGTGCATCCATTTGAAATCAGCTGAACAAGTACACACACATCATTCGGCAATACACAACACACACACACACACACACACACACACACACACACACATACACCACATCAATTCAGTCAACCGGGATCACTTGCTTTCGATATGACAAAGAAGAAGAAAAAAATGTGTATAACGTCTTTTGCTACGTTTTATTTCCACTTATTCACACTGAGATTGTCTTTTGTGACTCCCATCCAATCATATAAATACAATACATATTCATTTCAATTGTATTGCCGCTGTCATGCTTCGTTATGGCAATTGTGCTTGCACACACATTCGGTTTTGAGAAGCCGTGTGCGTAATGCGACCGCACACGCCAACGTGTTTCATCTGATTTTAGACGCGCAATTGAAAAATTGCATACGGAGTTGTCACATTCCGCTCTACTTCGCCTGTTTACATGAAATTAGCATATGCGTTTTCGTTTCGCATTCTCTGCCAAATGTAAATAGAAGACGAATTTCGTACGGCGCTTTACCTTCATGGTATGTGCGTGCCAAAGTATACATACATGTGTGGGTGACAAACATTTACATCCACCCACCGAAACATTGCAATTCAAATGAGCGAATATCAAATGCAACGGTAACTTAAGTCAAAAGGAAATGAACAAAATAAGTTTTAAGGAGAAATGAGTAGTTTGGAGCGAAAATATAATACAGAAAAGTTGCGCGGAAAAATGTCAATGATGAATGAGCGGAAAAGGGATAGTTATATAGTAAACTGTATAGTAAACTATAGTGAACTATATAGCTATCTCTTTTCATTTGACATTTTTCCGGGCAACTTTTCTGTACGTATTACATTTTCGCTCCAAACTACTCGAATGTAATTAAATAAGACAAAATTTAACTTTGCAAAGTAATTGGGATGGCGTAGCGTAGTGCAGAAGAAGAAGAAAAACGATATGCTCGCATTACATCATTTCTTCAAATTACTCAGTGTTTTATGCTCTCGCACTGCAATTTCCGCAAACCGGAACATTTTAATGTGCGAGCATTTCGCATACGGTAACGAACAGACACACACACAAATACTCTTTTCTCTCTCTGCGGCAACGGCTTAAGTCTACTTTTTAAATACATAAATTCACACACTCATTCAAACAAATTAAAATAAGGCGCTTGGCACAAAGAATACTTTTTTGGAAGCTTAAAAACAACATTGGCCTGACAACAACAAAGCAGCTTGTTCTTGGAACACGACTACTTGTTCGATCTCCAGCTCGTTGCTTTGATGCCGAGCAACTTTAATATTGAAAGGGAATTTTCTGTGCGAACAAAATCAAAATGTGGTTGGCGTATTTAAAAAAATCCCGTTTTTTATGTTGTTGTTGATGGATGAAAAAAACGCCACACAAAATGATATGATGAAAGTTGATTTAATAAATACGGCCACAAAGAAAAAGTTCCCGCTGAACATAGAAAATATAAAGGGCAAAAGAAAAAGTCACAATGAAATCAAAACGAACAAACTACTTGTGTATTTGCAATCGTTCGTAACCAGAGAGAAAGCACAGAAGAAAAGAAGTGCCCAGGGAGGATGAACGGGCAAAGTTTTCCCTCGGTTTAACCTTCTCGTACGTGAATAAATATATTAATTTTGGGGCGAAAGCAGAGAGAGAGAGAGAGAGAGAGTGAGAGAGAAATTGCTCAAGGAATTTCCTCGTCATCGCACACACAGCCACGCCTAAAGTGCAAAGGTTCTTGTTGATTTCATCGTTTTTTTTTGTATGTGTGTTTGATTTTTTTCTGTTCGCTTGTTCTCTTTTGTTGCTGCCATCGCTTTGTGTAGCGTTGTTTCGCTTGACTCGAGTAGTTGTCTTAGTAAACTTTCGTCATTTTTTGTATGCTAAGCCGTATGTATTGAGAGCTGGGGAAAACTAGCTTCGAAGAATGAGGTGACGTCGTGAGAGCTCGATTAATACCGAACAGTTCGGCTGCTGTGTGTGCAATGTGTACACAATAACGAAGCGACCTGTTGGCAATACAAGTTCTACTGGTTTTGCTTTTCTGCTTCTCTCTCACTCTCACCCACACCCATTCTTGCTCGTCATCAGCATCAAATGCACAAAGTTTTGTTGAATCCACGCTGTGTTCTCTCCATTGTTTCGGTGTGCTTCTGTTTCATCTACGCAAACACACTTAGTGACAGTTATATTTCTAGCCATGTTTTTCCATCGCATCACATTGTCCAAGATTTATGACAGAATTTGTAGCGAGAATGCATTGGACGGCGCGCGCAACAATTCGAAAGAAATCTCATTTTACACTCGAGTGAAGGAGTATCGAGAGAAAAAGAAAATTCTACGGAAAAAACAGCGAAAGAAATGTCCATAAATTTCTGCGCTGGTTTGTTTCTTGCTTCTTCTTCTTCTTTTTCTGGTTTCGTTTTTCCCAACGCGTTTTTCTCTTTACAAATCAACATCAATTCGGTCAATCCTTCGAAGCCGCTTTCGTTTTATCCTTGACGCTGGTGTTTTTTACGTGTTTCCATTTTCTTTATTGGCTATTCAGTGGCGATAGATAGAATTGCGGTTGATTTTCTTGTTTGTCAATTTTGTTGTGAATACTAATAGCAAAATTACAAGTCAAACACACAATCCCATGCATATAAAAAGCGAAACAGAAAGCGGGCAACCAGGCAAAGCGAGGCAAGGCAAGGTAAATGTAAGTTTCAAGCCGAAACGCATACTTCCGCATAAAAGTTCGTCGTCGTCAATAAATGTGTGTGTGTCCAGGTGTTTTAACTGCAAAAGAGAATGAGCGAAAGGGAGAGATAGAGAAGGCCACGTACCAAAAACCGTCGACAGCGTTGTGAAATCAATTTTGTAGTGGAGTGAATCCAGCTGGTAACATGACAGGCGTAAAAAATAAAACAAAAATTCGACGAAAGTTTTCGTTTCATATCTCCACGCTCACCTGTCGTACACATTCATTTTGCTTCGCTAACACTCGCTTTTCTAGCATAAGCATTCCAATATATATTCGACAGTTGCGTACGGCCCAAGTAGCATCAAAAAAAGACACAAGACGAAGGGAAGATTGGAATAAAAGAAAACAAGATCAATAAACACCGAGTCATGAATAATTCAAATGGAACAAGAGAGAATAAGAGGGAAGAAAAAAAATTTTGGTAGTCAGCCAAATCGTCTGGATGCTCTCGAGTCAAATCACAACTAGGTGTATTTGATGTGTACGACGGTTGAAAATCGAAGCATTTATATTCAGTCAGAGCGTCCCTTCACTGACTGGAAAATCTTGTTTATCACAATTTTTTTTCTCGCTCATTGAAAATTCAATCAAATGAATGTCGATTTTGAATCACAGTGAATGTGGACAAATCAACATTTATTTGACCCTAATATGATGCCAGATCAATCACTCAGAGTGTATGAGATGCATAATTTAAATAATAATGCTTTCGACGAAAATATACAATGAAAATCCCATTGAAATGTGGAAATTTCCGTCATTTTTTCCCTCATTTCGAATGAATCTATAGAAAATTAACATTTTGAAGACTTACCGGGAAATTTTTTTCTTGGACAACCCACCTTGCAAACTTACTACTTCCTTTTAACAACTTCTGTGGAAATTAATCAAACCTTACTCGCATTAAATTGACAGAAAATCGATCGCTTCACCTCAGTCAAACATAAAATTTAGATCGTAAAAAAAATACAAACCTTACAACGGATAATCCCCGTACGTTCCATCTAATCCTATGATATCATCTCTAAACATAAAAACTAAGGGATAGTAAATTTTGCAATGAAAAAGCGATAAAAATCAACATGACAATTTGCTTTTTTTTTTCTCGCCACAACCAATTGCCACACCTTTGCACTCTTTCTACCTTGTAGTGTACGTGAGCATGAAAATAATGAAAAAAAAAGGGAAAAAGTGCTGGCAAGTCAATATATTGGCTGTAAAATAAGTTTACCGGAATAAAATACGTATATCCATGCACACCACCATTTCCTTTTCATCCAATTGTTGTCATTCAGTTGTTGTTGTATTCTTGTACTTCATCCGAATTTTATTGTATTATTATTTGCTATTTCCATATAAATTGCCTTACGAAAATCCATTTAATTTTTCTTATTTTGTTACATTCCAATGCATGAACAATCATTACTCAATCACTTGCACTTGTCCACCCTCCTTTGCTGCACACTGCCACATACCAATGCACATAAATTGTTGGCTGTCATCACCAACAACAAACACACTACCACACCACCTGAATATTGCACGTTTGTCTTTTTTCATTGTGTTTGCGGTGCTAAAGTCTTCCCTCGTCACCCACACACAAGAGCGGCCTGAAAATGGCGATGACGACGACGACCACCGCGTCTGCAACTCCCAGTCGCATTCCAATACGAACAAATATAAATAGTAAAATACCCCGACCCGTGCACACTGAGACAACGGCAACAACGTTACTCTCATCACCGTCGGCTGCAATTTCATCCGATCACATATCCAATAACGTCAATAAATCCAACACCACTCCGTCGCCATACGAATTGCAGGCGATCCAGTAAGTAGCTTGTATCTATTACACTCGAATTTCGTTTCGTGGGGAAAATTTGTTCACTTCTCAGGAAAATGATACTACCAACTGACACTTCGCAACATAAATATGAAAGAAAAACAAAATAAAAAAGATTACTCTTTTAGTATGTATGTATACTAACACTTTCTGTATTTTTTTATCTTCTACTACTTCGCCGTAAGATTTACTGAACGATATATGGTTTTAGATGGTTATTTTCGTTACTTATTTATGGCTTATGTGGAATGATTACTAAACACTTTTTTTCTAGATAGCACAATTTTCGTCCTTCAAAGGATCTGATATGTTGTAAAGCGTGTTGGCGATTTGCATGAGAGGTTTCTATCTTGTTCCTTTTTCACTCCTGTATTTGTATGACGATGATTTTTCTACTAACATTTTCGTTTGTTTTACACAATCAAGTTGTTTGTATGGTAAGAGCACAAACCCGCACACACACTTCAATTGCATACGCACTGGCAGTGTAAAAAGCAAATAGAAATGTAAATATTTCAACAAAGAGCGATCAACAACATTATTTTAAACTCGAAATGATGTGTACTTTTGGCTTGGCATGCACTCAAAGTGATGATGGCGATGCACATTGTTTTGGAAAAAATAGAAGTGGCACTTTTGCAGCTCAGATAATCACATGGATTTTGGATTTGCAAAGCATGAGAAACCAGAGAGAATGGATGTAAAGAAAGAAAAGAAGATTCCGTTGCGTACTTAAAAATCATCTGTTTTGTGGAATCTAAGCATATTTCTGCGCTCTTTGATTGCTGCAACTCTTCATTCATTCACATTGTCTAACATGATCCCTTTGACTTGGCATTCCTTTTGCCTGCTTATCAAATCGTACGCTAAGCGCACAATGTACATAGATTGCAATCGCCGCAGCTCTTTCAATTCAAAATGTGTTTCTAATGCATTTGGAATATTTACTACTGCTATTGCTGCTATTACTGCTGCAACTGTGTTTTTCGATGCAGCTTAGATTTTCTTCTTTGTTCGTATTCATGTGACTCCATTTTTTTCGCTCTCTATCTCTTCGTGGTTTCACACTTTTGAAAAAAGTCTTTTATGTGGTCGTTCTCTATGCCAACCACTCTTAAACCAACGATATAGAGTACATTGAGGGCGACTATATCAAGCCGGCGTTGGCACAAGCGGCGAGTAAGATAGGGAGACAAAGAGAACGAGAAAGGGAAAGATGAATGGTTTAGCGACATGAATTCAACAATAAAAAAGGAACATTTGCGGGAAACGAGAATGGATAATGCAATGAATTGAATAAACTCAATAAAATTATGCGCTCTTTTGAATCGTCTCCATAAAGTGGATAATGTAATGGACTCGACTCGACTCTATTTGGATTCGACATAAAGCAAATGACCCAGATTTTGATCTTGCTTTTCGTTTTGTGTTTCGTGTTTCTCGGTGGAGATTTAAGTACTACTTCTAAATTGTAGCCAACTTGAAAATTTTACCATGATTTTTTTGTTGATTTAATTTTCTTTTTTGTTCATTCGTCAAATGTTTCGTTTGTTTGAATTAGGGCTGAGGAACGTGCCGCTTGGCGTCAAGAGCGACTGAAAACACTGCAAGAAGAAGTCACCGTTGCACAACAATCGATAAACAAACTGAACGATGATTTGACCAAGAAAAGCGAGGTAAGTACCATTAATGATTTGAATTAAATGACTGGCCGTGACTAACATCACACTGATAACTTAATTCAACTGTGCTTGAATAAACCCCATTGATTAATATCCCCCATTCCAACAATCGTCAATCCGTTCGAATTTTAAATGCAACGTAATAACATTTTTTGAACCATCGACTGTTCTGTTTTTCACGTAACCCAAACATCCGACACAATACTTGTCTGTTTTGTCTTCATTAATCCACCTAGTGTTTTAACCCATGCCGTGAATATGAATAAGGGATGTATATCTAAAATGGAAGCATTTTCAGAGATTTGTTCATGAATATACGCTTCAAAGTTTTTCAACTCCAGTTATCAATATTTCAAAATGATGCATTTATCTACATCAGGAAATGGAAGGGAAAAAACGACTGTTTGCAACATAATTACAGTTTTTCGCTCCATCGTTTGCGTCCATCAAAATGATGAAAAGAACGTACAGTTTATGGTTACACCTGCACAAAAAAAACCAGCTCATCATCGACCGTAATTAACAATTTAACGTATTTACATGCCAACGTTTGAGCTTTTTTCTGAATCATTGTGTGTGTGAGTGGTTCTTTTCAAGCGATTCCCATTTGAAATCACAATGTAATTACAGTTTTGCCGCGATGTTTCTTTTCATTTGAAATGTTGGTGAAACAAAAACCACATTTTATTATGGATCATTCAAATGAAAAATGCCCGAACGGCAGTTTATTTGCCACACGTTTACATGCAACAACATTTTTTTATTATTATACAGCATCCATCAATGATTTTTATTACGTTTCATACGCTCTGATAGGACAGATCGAGCACCGGCACACACACACATATGAACGAGAAAAAAAAAAACGTCATTCTGATTTTAAAAATACAGTCTCGGTGATAAAATTGGCGTGTGTTCTGGCTCATCGTCGTAAATAATTGTTGTTGAATTTCACATGTTGTCGTGCATTTGTTGAGCGAATGTTTTTCATTTTATGACTGTCATCGTTGATAACGAACAGCAATTGATTTATTTGAGTACGTAAATAAAAAAGAAAACCAATGTACAGGCAACAGCAGCAAATTGCCATGAAAACATAGTTCACTGATTTTTTTTTTTTGTATTCAAAAGCAAAGAACCACGGACTTCATGAAAACCACTGAACACAGTTTTTTTTTCGGCTGAAATGTACTTGACAAACAAAAACACATAAACCAAACGGAACCTCACCTCTGATGATGGTGCAACAACAAAAATCTGACAATGATTCATCTTGACAATTTTTTGGTGATGTTTTGTCTCACTTTTTTTTCGTTGTTGATAAAATGGAAATGGAAAAAGATTACAAAGGAAAGCGAAAAAAATAATAAACATTCGATGAAATGAATGAACAAAGATGCTCTCAGGAAATGTTAACTTCAGACAACAATTCAGTATTGTCAGTCAACATTTGACCTTGTTTCGAAAGTTTTTGATAATTCTCTCTCTCTCTCTTTTTTCAAAACATCTCTCTGCTCGTGGGCAAAACATGATATGATGAACAAAAAATGTTCGTTAAAAATTACCGGATTCGTTTGGTTATGTGCAACGTTAATCCAGGGAAAAGTCGTGAATACTTGTTCAGCTGATAGTACATCAGTTGTATAATGCATTTACTGATAAAAAATGTAGAAATTTTTTTCCCGCTGAAATCCACGTAAATATAAACTAAATGTGAATAGTAAAAAAAAGTCGCTGGTAAAAAAACCCAAGTTCCATCAAATTCACCGAGTTAAGGAATAACATAAAGTTTTGCAAAATGTTGCGAAATATAAAGTTAACGGAAGATATTCGTTCTTCGCGTTTGCTTGTCATCGCGTTCAGTTTCAATTTCTTATGGTTTCGTGTAAGACGGAAAACTAAGTCGATTCTTTCGTGTAACCATGAAAACTCTGGCTATAAACTTTTGTCTTGAGATGTGCAACGTTTGAGCTGCATTTTGCTTTGTATTTATCAACAAGACGACCTTCGTTATAATTGTGTCCAAAGATGTCTTCCATCAATTTCGATCACGTCTTAAACACACTTCAATGAAATTCAATTAAATCTGTTGCACGAAACATTTTCCACTTTCAAATAACGAATCGGCAATACACAAATTAATTGTACACGACTGAATTCATGTTCAATTTACAATTACAACTAATGTTGAATTACATTACGATAATAATAAAGTTTGCTATTTGAAGGAAATGAGTGGTCAAAAATTCAGACGCTGAATTGATTTGTTCTCGTCGATTCAAGTTTAAAATTCTAGGGAAAATTGTCCCATGTTTACCTTTTCATAATTGCATTTGTTCGAAAATACTATGAATTCGGTTGATTGCAACTAACAGCCCGGTTATTATTGTGTACTCCACCGAAAAATTCGAAGAATTTCGAAACTACATACTCTGTGTAACATAAAGTTGAAGATAAAAATCTTCTTTTGCTATTCTCTTCGTAGAAAATCCCTTTTTCACTTGAAACAACCACTTTTGATGAGTTTAAAAATATTTTCCTTCATTTGATTCTCTATCGAGAAAACTGCTCTTTGAAATGATGTTCAAAGAAAAACTTGTTTCCATTATTTTACTTCAAGTGCGTTCATTGTGATGTACAAAAAGACACCATTTCAAAATAAGATGTCATTTGTTTTGACGCATTTTCTAATTTCTTCCGGTGAAATGGCTAATGAATTAGTTACATGCCACTGAATCTGGGTAATTGTGTCAATTGTTAAGATCTTAATTGAACCTCGTTTCTCGGTGCCATGATCGTGCGAAGTGAGTGAGAGAGAGAGAGAGAGAGAGAGAAAGAGCAGTTTGGCTCATGCTCTTAACGAAGCTATATAGCGAATCAAAAGTTGGTATAAACTTGTGAAATTATCACAAACTTTACCTCTGGCGATTTTCAGCGAAGATGCTATCGTTGCGCTCATCATTGCTTCACTTCATCAGATAATGTTGCACAAACATGGATAAATTTTGTTTTAAACATCTGATTCTAAGCAAATACGATTTCAAACAAAACGAGAAAAAAAAGTGCGATTCAAACGGAATGAGAAAATGTTTACTTCGTCACAATGTAATGCAACCGAGAATTTTAATGGCATACTAAATGTGACGATACATCATACAGCAAGCAGGACATGGAAGTCAAGGAGCAAAATCAAAATAAGTGAACAAAAAACAACTAGAGAAGAAAGAAGAAAAAAAAGCAACCTAATTAAATTTTGAAAAGTTTTTTTTTTCTGTTTTATCAAAGTCAAGCTGAGTGACTGTGATTGCAATGCAATGAATGGACAAATGGCAAGTCAATATTGGCGTAGGTTCAAGTCAGTTTTGTACAAGAACTCGAGGGTTGCAAAAATTTAAATAGTTCACGACATCGAGAGAGGGAGAGAGAGAGAGAGAAAGTCAGCAAAATATTAAGAACATCTTGTGTGCAAACATTTGAAAAGCAATTTCTGTAGTTTTGCGTACATTTGTGTCGCCTTTTATATTAGGGCTATGACACACTGTGTGTGTGCCGCTTGGTCGAGCATCTACTATGTCTCTGTTTCTTCTACCGTACAAACTCCAGACCAAAGTTTTCTTTGATAGATAAACATTGTAATGGAAAATATTTAAACAGATTCACATCCAGGGAACGGCAAAGATTCGACTTTCGAACGTAAGGAAAAGCGCATTGAAAAACTTTCTCTTTGAAAATGCATTTTCCTAGGGAGAGATTTGTGTCGGTTTGTGTCTGTGTCTGTGCTGATAGCCAGAGCCAGGACCAGATGCTTCCTTCCGCACATACACACACACACACACTCTCACACGCTGTGATGATCAATTTTAACTATTCAATGATTAAATCGCAACATTTGCGGTCACGTTGCTTATGTACGCAAAAAGCATTTGGATGGCGGTGCTCCCAAAACGATTTCATTAGGTAGCGCTGTGACAAAAGTTTAAACATTTTCCCGAATTCGGGATGTGCATGTTAAAGGAGCTAAAATGGCATTCAGTGCGCTGCACCGAGAAGAAAGTTGACTGTTGAGTGCGGGCAAGTGCACTGAAGTTCACAAGATACGGGTATCGAAGCGATAGACAGACGTGTACATGTACATTTTATTCAATAAATCTTTCAGCCATGCTGTCGCATCTCAACGAAAATTAGAAGCAAAATCTAGTTTCTTCCGTTGTAAACGAAGCGAACATCGTTGCTCCGAATTTTGCATGCACAATCATATTTAGTCAAAGTGGATATTTGTTCACATTTGATCGAACCAATAGTGAGATAGATAGAAAAACAAAAGAAAAGTAAGGGAAGCCGAAAAAAATCCATTGCAAATAAAAGGATTACCGCTAATCCACTGTATTATTTTGTCAGTTTATCAGGGCAATATTGGGTGGTTGTGTCGTGACAACTCAACATTATTTGGTTTTAGTATCTCCGTCCATTTTCCATCATCAATTTCCATATGAATTGCAGTCGTTACAACATGCAAGCTCTGCGTCTTATCTGCTTTAGCTGCGTTGTTTGGGCGGAACGGGCCGTTCCAAACGGCGACGCTATTTGTAAGTGGAACTTGGAACATCGATTGGCATTTACAGCGGATAACTGCAAACAAAGTAGGTTTTTATTGTTTGCGATAGCGGTTGACGATTGTATCATCAGCCCGACATCAGACTCAATTATTGTTTCATGGGATATTCTCTCACTCTGTGTATGTCTATTGTCTCTTGCCATTATTCTTCCGATCGATGGTTGTTGTTTGCCAAATTCAACGAATCAACGAGCTTTTATTTGTCTGCAGAGTAGTGTACGTATTTAATTTCGGCATAAGGGATGGATCTTCGAACTTCATTGTAATAAATTACGAGCGGAATTTTCTTTCAATCATCAGAGAACGAGCAGGCGAGCGAGAAAGAAAAGACAAACAATATTGATGATATATATGATAAACTACTTTGTTGTTGATTCGTTTGATTTGTTCGTCGGACGCTTGGGGAGGAGTTGTGTTAGCATTGATTCTCATTAGACAAACATTTACTTTCTTCTTCTAGTTTTTCTTTTTCTTCTTCTTCTTTTTCTTCTTTGAAACTAAAATTCGGTATAAATTGTTCAAACTTTTCCACAGGCGATCGTTTTCCCCCGCATTGCAATCAAATCAAGTCCAGGTGCTTTGATTGTACGCGAAACGGAAAAAGTGCTCGGCGAAAAGGTAACCACACGCACTGAAGAAGTACCGTGTCCGGTGACCGGTGTACCTCATATACGAACCGTTCAATTGGTTGAGAAGCTCATCGAAACTGAGGTAGTTAGTAACAACATGAAACAAAGAACACAACAATTGGTTTTGATGGATAACATTTTGCGGTGTTTTTTGTCGGCAACAACGCACCAATTTCCGTTTACACTTTTGCGTGTATATATTTGCTCTTTTGTACAACATTGCTTCCGGGCGCACCAAGTCAAGCTTTATTTTTTGTGTTCGTTTGTTGTCGCAAATTTGGCTGTCTGGGCTATGTGTTTGTCTGTTGATTGGTTTGGTTTTTGGATTAGTTTGTATTTCATTTTGGTCTAAAGCACCGTGTTTACTGGTGCGTATGTGTTACTGTGTGGCTTCGCATCAATTCCAATTCACATACGTTTTGTACATAGTATTTATACATCTATCTATTTTGTAAAGTTTGATCGCTTAACTGCACCGCAAAATATATATATGGTATAGCACATACGCCGTAGAATTTAAGTTGTGTTGGATTTCCGGAATTTTCTCTTTTTTTGCTCTTTTCACTTTTTCTTTTTTTCTTCTTTTCTTCTTTGGTTTGCACAGCAATTGTAGGCTTGACTTCGATTTTGCGCTTCCACATCACATTTGTACATATTTGCATTGCATTTTATCCACACGCACACACACACACACACACACGTATTATATAATGGCTAAGAGCCACACAACAAATTTGAACACGATAAAATTTATCGTCGGTTGGGCAAAGTCATTCAATAGACGAAATGACTAAACAGACTTTTGGCTACTTGACACCAATATCTCTCTTTCAAATGAACTAAGTAGTTTGTCACTTGGAACGATAGCCTACGCATCAATTCAAATGTAAATGCTCAAATTCAAAAGATCTTTTGAATCATAGATAATTTAATGGAAATCATGATGCGTTTCAAAATGAAAATGTCTGAGACAAAGTTACGATTTTCACTCTCTATTGAATTCAAAAGATTCTATTATGGTATTGACTTCTCCTTGCACCTAATCCAATTGACTTTGGTTCCAATGAAATCAGACGCTCGTGTTGCGTCTTCGTTTTAACATATTTTCATACGGTTTGGTGCACACGCATCGGGCAATCTTAAGCCCACGCAACCAAACCAAACCAAAATGAGTTATTTTACCCTGAAAACGTCATTTCATTCATGGCACTAACAGCTTGTAATGAAACAACGGATCTATCAAGCCCATCGGATTATTCCTCAGCTGAGTTCCGATACGAAAGCGAAACCATTACTACTCAATGAAGCAGCGGACTTGTCGGCACACTCGTGGATTTAGCATTTCACTTGCTTTGGCGATTCGTAAGTTGCCGAAGCATCATATATGCAGTGCACACGTTATTTAACGTGAAAACCTATATCTGCTACATCGAAGTTGGCCGAGGTATGATTTTGTTTGCGCGTAGCGCGTAAGCAATTCACTTGGGATATATAGTATATAGGGATTCACGTTATATCGCAAGTAAATTGCTTATGCGACGCGCAAACGAAATCATACCTCGGCCAACTTCGATGTACCGAATATAGGTTTTCACGTTAAATATCGAGTACACTGCATATATGATGCTTCGGCAACTCACGAATCGCCAAAGCAAGTGAAATGCTAAATCTACGAGTGTGCCGACAAGTCCGCTGCTTCATTGAGTATACTTAACTAAATTTCAATTCCAAAGAAATCTTTTGATGAGAAACAAGATTTACAAAAAAACGGTTTACAAAACCATTTCCAACTACATGTAGAAAAAAATCCACACAAAATGTATATATTTGATTAACCGTTCACCATGGAAAATCGTGCACAAGCTTACATTACACTTATTCTGCTGAATGTGCCGTCGCTATCGCACGAAATATCACATCGTCGAGCATGTGTCGCATGAAATAGAGGTTTCAATTGTATGTGCGATTTCGCATACGTCAATCGTATGCTAAGTTTTGTTCAAGAGGAAAATCGGATAAGTCCAATTTTTTCCCTTCGAAAATTGGGCCAAGATCGAAAATGACACATCAGAGGGAAAAAATGCGATTTCGTTGTCCAATTTCTACTTGAAATGATGCACTTTTGTGCATGTAAAGATGAGATTGTTAGTAGCGGGGAATCATCATTGAAAATTGATGCCTCAGTGCATATATATATGCATTTATGTCGTTCGCATTTATGTCATGTAGATAAAAATGCTGGAAATGTGTATGACCAAGAGCGAACAAGTGTGCGAAATAGTGCATGCACAAGCACATGCATCGAAACTCTTTTCTTCCCTGCGATAGGACATTTTGCTTGACATTTTTCCATACTAAACATCATTTCGCATCGAACACCATATCGCATTTTCGGCAACGTGCTCCATTCAACATGGAAAAATCAGCACCGAAAGTGAAAACATCGAACATTCTCGTCCGTCGCTTCGGATTTTTTTTTTTCATTTTCAAGCAAATGCTTCGTTCCATCTCACTTCATCGCAGATTACATTCCGCATGTCACTTGATACATGTTTGTTCACGATCATGCTTTGTTTATCAATTTCGCAAATTGGCATATCCATTGAAATGGATAGGTTATAGTCAGTAATTTAATCTGACCCATTTACTGTATAACCAATTGCCTGTTCAGTTTTTGCGAAACTTCGATGAGGATGAAAAAACGAAAACATGGGCGTCGATACTTGGAAAAATTACGATGATTTTTGTGAGGATTTAAAGACTTTCATTAAAACCGTAAAAAATGAAGCTCGTATAGTACGCATTACAGTTTGTGTCAGAATGACAGCAGTATAATGTGCTGTACTGCTCAAGAGAAATACGAGCTTATTTCGATATTTAGTTTTTCATTACTATGTACCAAAATTATCAGAATGAATATTCCATATAAAAAATTTAGTAAGACTGAGAGTTAAAGTTCAATAAAAACATGAATTCGAAAACGTAATTGATTTTTCATCAATAACGTTGTGCAATCAATCTCTTCTCTCCACGTCATGAAGTCGTTAGCAAAATTAGAACTGCATTTTTAAAAAAAAACCGTTTTAATTGGTTCTAATTGGATGACACATTTGTCGATTTCAACATCAACAGTCCAAGATTAATCTAAATAGTGCAGAGATGGTTCATCGTTTACCACAAATGTAATATCAATGTATAATGGTATATAATATATATACTATATATACCCTTCTGTACGGAGTACAGTAAATACAACAAATTGATATAGATATACTCCATCTCTGAATTAGTGGAAAGCTTTTAACCGTATTCAAAGTGGCATTGGTATATTTTTACTTACATTTTTCCCATATCGGCCGATTTGTTGAAAGTGTGATTAAATCAATTAGACATGGCTAGAAATTTACTCTAATTGAAATGCATATAAATAAAGCTTTTGAAAAGAACGAAATCAGAATCAGTTCAAAATTGACAAGCAGTGTTGTTAGAGTCAACAGAAGTCAAAATAAAATCCTTCGGACTTGTATTCGTCATCGGAATCGTCTTAGCAGTAATGGAAACAGCATACAGTGCTCCCTCCTCATCATGCTGAAGTCCATTATTGAGCTCGCGCTTTGCATGCAGGTGCACATGCACAGCACGGACACCAACACCACTGAGACTTTAACGATGAAGAATCACACCTGACCTACTGGCTGCTTTTGATCTGATTTTCATACTTTTACATTCACATTTGTTATTTTAATCAGCACAACGTTAGTTACGAATATTTTAAAGCACAGATATAAAGCCACTTTTCAATAAAAAATAAATCAGCACAAATTCAAAATCTTGAACATTTTTTATTAACAATTTTTATTGGTTAATAACTTTAAAATGGTAAATAGGTATATGGAATTATTCTATAGAAGTGGAAAGTGCGCTGTAATCGCGCATCAACAAAACGTGTTTTTTTTTTCTAAATCCACTTCAATCATGGATTTTTTCAAAGGCAATTACAAAACTGTTCATTTCAAGTTCTACAACGAGATTTCGGGTGATTGGGCCAGATTTCAGATTTGCAAAATGTATTGCTCGTTTTGTAACTGCTTCATTTTTACAACTGCTGGCACTATTTTGTCTCTAAAATAAGCTGTAATATTCTGCTTGGGAAAGGCTTCAATCTCAAAAGCCAATAAACGCGAAGAAATCTTCACAGTCAAGTTTTTTTTAGTTTTTATTTCGTCTCAATTTTCATATTAATATGAATTAATCTGAAAAATTAACTAAATTCTGTTGTTTGGCATCAACAATGTGGGTGGAATAACTATTATACTAAAACAAAGTATCACAAATCCACGATTTTCTTCCATGAGTGTGTAGTGTGTATGCAAGCCATGATCCAACATCGAGCAAAAAAACAATAATAATCAATTCACACATGCCATTCAAAAACGTTTTTGCCTCATGTAAATTTCATGTGATTCCGTTTCACTTTTTACCACTTCAGTAGTTATTTCAATGGAAAAATTAGAATTTCAACTAAATTAGCGTACTGAATTATTTTTCATGTTTGACACAATTTTTTTTTTCACATTAAACCATTAATTTATTTCCAAGAATGATGCCTGTTAATTGGCATGAAAATATAATTTTAGTCGAATAAAAGTATGCGAAATTGCATTTCCCATATTCAATCAATTGGTCGCAGTTGACAATTATGATTACAATCATAATTTTTCTAAAGAGAATTTAGAAGAAATGTATGAAATATGACTTGTAAACAAGAGCCAAATTAGTTTGTTGCAACCAATCATTCAGTTGAAAGAAATCAAAATGAAATTCTACGGATTTGTTTTTTCCATCGGACTCGTTTTGGCGTTGATAGGTTCGGCATTCTGCTCTCCACTCGCTCTCGATCAAGCGTATCATCGAGTTCGCTCTTTGTATGCAGAGGTACACCATGAAGATCACCATTGAGGCTTTGACGATGAAGAATCACCCGGCCGTTCAACAAATCTAAATTCGATCTCTTTCCAAAATGAATGCACAATGTTAATTCGAAATTGAATACAAGTAATAAAATTTTGGCTCAGCAAAATGAATATTTTTTTTTGTTGTAATCGTCGCTTTTTTAATTCATTATTTCAGCGCAAATGCTACGAATCGAAATAATTAACTCGAACTGTGTTTCCAAATTTCTCTCACTAATTAATTAGCCAAAATAGTTTCGTGCTGCGTTCAGAGTATACATTTTAAACTTAAACATCCTACTGATATTGTCAAAAGCTTTTGTGGAATTTCGTATTGGTGCATTCATCCTTGATTAATTCTCTGAACAAAGTGAATGAAAACATTATCGATTGAGCAGCAAAACCTCTTAGACGAAGAACAAATTCGAATAGTACAACAAATGCTTGCACTACCACCTGCATTCACGAAGAATATACACAGCTAAAGACTCGAGATAAAGATCACAATCTCACTATTCGAGGGTGGTTATTTCTGATTCTCCCATGTTTACCGTTGGAATGTGAGGTTTTTTGGTTTGAAGACTTTTTCAATGCATCGATCTTAAAGGATTGAAAACGTATGATTTAAAGCAATCATGCATAAAATCTGCTTTCAACATCTGTTTACCAAAGCGTGCGAAAAAATTTCGAATCGTTGCAATGCAACCACCGGATTTATTTGAATCAATTTGGAATGATCGAGATGGTTTTCTTGTCGAAATGCAACTTTATGCCAAAGAAAATGTTGAATGATTTCGATGTCTAACCGCATCAACGAGCTTAATTATTTGATGGTAATTGTGTGTCATTCTAAAGAAATGCCAAAGTAAAAATGGCATTTAGAAGAGATGAATGGTATACTTTGATTCGGCATTTTTTAAGCATTTCAATAAATCGATTTGGTAATCAATTCCCAGTGCCATTTCTCCCTTGTCTCGTTCTTCATTCAAATCCAATTTCTCCGTACACCGAAAAGAAATAGTGATTGCACAGTGCACAGTGCATTCAAGTGAAGAAAAAAAACAAGTAACCTATTTGAATTCGAGTTGATTGTTGAACTTTGAATGCGAATGGAAAGTGATAGAGAAAGCGATAACAAAAAATTGATGTTGTTATTGTTTGTTCAAAAAGTTTACCTCGTTGAATACTGTTGACTTTGTGCATTCATGAATCGATTTCGTTGCATGTGTAAATGTATCTATGAAAAAGACACACACACCGTGTGTCACACACACACGTTGATTGCGAAGTGAAAGATAAAATGCAAGCTGGATATTTCAATGCAAATGCATCGATGGAAAAACGGCAAAAATAGAGTAATAAATAATGATAATGATGATAATAAAAAACGACTATGATATTTCTATTGACACAGAACAGGAATATCAGCAGGGTTGTCATGTGTATATGTCGCACAATGAATCTCTCCGTCATCTTCGTACAAATATTCTATGCATATATATTTAGATCGCTTCTTATCAATGCAAACGTGAATATAAATTATGATTTCCCATAGTTTGCCGTTGACTTTGCTTTTGAATTCTCAATCAATTTTATCGACGAATATTGTTGATTTTCCTTTTTGATGCGTTTTCTCATATGCGCTATTGAGAGAATATATACTATATCATCATTGTTGGGCGGTGGTGTGGAGACATGAAGTTTCGAATAACCAAGAAAATTCTGTTGATTCTTAGAGAAAAGAAATAGGAAATTCAGTCGCATTTCGAATATTCATATATGGGAAATGTACAGAGAAAGAGATGATATCGAAGCGACAGAACAGTTTTCAATATCTAACAATTCTCGCAACATTTTTGCAATTTGAGCAGATACTTGTTGGGAGTGAGAGTGGGATAGAAATAGAGGAAAATTATCCGATGTGCGAATGGATTGAAATATGCTCATGTTGGAAGCCGATAATCGTACATATTTATTGCTCTTTGAAAGCGACACTCGACATCAAACAGTCGACGACGATGACAAAAAAGCAAAAAGTATCACTTTTATCACGAATTTCAATTTGAATAACACATTTCTGAGGGATTTTCAGGAGAATAAGAGGAAAAAGAACATGTTGAGCCGAAATAATATTTTTGTTGTAACAGTGCGAGTTTAACATGTATTTTCGCTGAAAATTCGCATTAGATTTCTCGTACTCTCTCTCTCTCTGCTTTACACCGATTTTTTTCTTCTTTCGTATCTCTTCTTCCCTTTAGTTCTGTATGCCTCTCTCTCGCTCTCGCTCCTAATTCCTGTGTCGCACAGTACAAAGCCGACGAAATGTTAGCAGTGGATTGTCATGGAACGCACTTGATGATATGCACTGAATGTATAAATAATTCCGGCATTTCCATGTTTGAGTTGTTAGACTCAGGTGAGATTATTCGTCTTCAAATGATAGTGTTACTGAATTGTAATTCCACGTCTTAATGAAGCTTTTTTTCCCCTATTTTGAGTGTCACTTTTGCCATGAAAATATTAATTTTCTCGGATGTTGAGTAAACCATTAAAGATTTTGGTGTGGTATGAGACGCGCGCATAGAAGCCAGTCTGAAATTACATCTTCAGCACAATAAATGGTACTTCAAGTTTAGGTTGATTTTCAACACCGGCGACAAATTAGCGTCGCTTTCAAATGCTTTTTCGTCATTATTATGGCGATTCAGCTGTGTATATCCGAAATTTTGATTATTCTGGACAACAGCAATCACCGAGATTACTATTCAAAACAAAATTCAACTGAAAATTGAGCCACCACTTGGGGTGTGTGAGAATGAGAATGAGAATGAGGACGAGCAAGAGGGAGAGTGAGATGTCACCGACTGAGTGCTTATGAATTAGTTTTACGGCACTTCATCATTGAAACACGACAAAATGGAAGAGACTTTCACAAAGTCGCCTGTTGTGGGTGGCTGCTTTTTTGTGTTCGTTTTCTTTATACGAACAAACCCGTTGCGCGCACACCACAAAGATACAATATTATGAAATATACAAATATGGCGGGAGAGACCAACTTTATTTGTGTCATCACAAAAACTTGCTCAGATTCCAACGATTCGAATTGTCGCTTTCCATTTTTCTACAAAACTTTATTTTCGTCGCCGTTGCATTGCAAAAACAGCGCTCAACTTATTTCACAAGTTTTTCTTCACTCTCTCGTACCTCTCTTTTCCCAAATGCTTCTTCAGTCACTGAAATTTTGTGGCAAGATAAAACAGCATTAGCACCTGATTTCAATAGAAGCAACGTGTTTTGGTTGTTGAGGAATAATGAAGAGAGAAGGAGATGAAGAGAGGAAAAAAACAACTCATCGTTAGTAAAGTTGTGTTTGTGTGTGTGGAACGAATTTTCATTGGGTATTATGGAGGTGATCTAAGAGTCTTACATTTTGTTTTTGTTCGACTGAATATTTGGCTGATTTTTGTGTGGCAATGCTTTATTTATCGATTTTCCGTTCATGCACTACTATCACTACAACACTGCTGCGTATATGGCAAGAAAGTGAGAGAAAGTGTAATCGGGTGGCGGTGTCGGAACGAGATTTATATTGTCATTTTCTTTTTTTTGCCGTTTGCAGCTTTTTTCATCATTTCGTTGACAAACATATTTCTTTCACTCGATTTCTGGGCTCCTTTTCATCATTTCTCTTCGCTTCTTCGGGTTTTTCTTCTTCTTCATTCGCTTTGTTGTTTATTTGTTGTCACTTGTTATCGTGTTTCCGTGTTGAGCTTTGGTGCCAACAATACGGCTGATTTGTGAAAAAGTTCACATGCACAGATACAAACACTCAGCACGCGAGATTATTCTATTTTAACGGCCGAAAAGAAGATCCTTGTTGATTGTTCGCAGGTTGTTGCTGTCGTTTCATTCCTCTTTACAAAGAGTGCGATTCGATTTTGTGCTTCTTGTCACTCCTTCTATGATATATATGTATTATATGTTGCTTGTGTTTCTTTATTCTTTTGTTGTTCTTCCACCCGCACTACACATAGCATGTTCAGCACAATTATTGTATATTATTTTGTTGCCGTTGTTGATGTTGTATTCGCACAAAAGGACTTTAAACACATTTTTGGTTCGTTTCTTGTGTTTTCGTGTATTTCGTCATTCAATATTATTTATAGTAGAAGTAGAGAACAAAAAAAACCACACGAAGAAACATGAGCACCGTTTGATGTTGTTTTGATTGAGGAATGAAAAGAAAATACGATAATAACCGCTTTCAATCATGGTGTATTTTTTTTTTCCTTAGGTCGAAACCTGTCAGGAGAAGATAATTACGTTGGAGCTTAAGGATCCAATCACAAATGCTACTCTCACAGAGGAACAGCTTATGGCAGCCAAATTGCCCGATACGACAATTTCACCGTCCGATGATGAGAACTCATCAATTATAACCGTTCGTTCGAATGCAAGCAACAATAACAACGAGAGTGTGGTACGATTGCATTTGGCCACCGAAGACAATGCAAACGTTGGCGAGGGACAAAGCGGATCGGGCGGTGGTGGATCATTTTTGACAGCCGTTCAGCATCATCAGCCGTCGAATGTGATCGATGCGGCGGAAAGTACGATGCAAACAATTGTCGAAGTGGTGAATCCGTTGATATCCGGTCAAGGTTATGCAAATACGATAGCAGTCGGTGGTTCAAATGATGATGGCTCATATCCATCGTTTGATCCGACAAACGATGACGGTAACGTGGCTGAGGTGATGAACTACGATTCGCTTGACGTATACAAAACGGCCAGTGAATTGTCGTTGAGCGACAAAATGAAAAATGTGCTGCAGGAATTAGTCAAAAACGAACGGGTACGGTTGAGCTTTTCACAGAGCATATCCGAGGTCGAAGATAGTGATAGCGAACAGAATGATACTGATGACGATGCAAATGAGCCATTAAGACATGATAGCAGCGATGATGATAAATCAGTCGTACCCATTAGCCCGTCGAATCAAGCAACGGCAACGGAAGAGAATGGCAACGCTGCTGCTGTTGCTGCTGCTGCTGCTGCCGCTGCCGAGGCTGCTGCTGTTATCGCACAGCTTAATATTGTCGACACGGTGGCAAGCGATAGCGGCAATAACGACGACATAAAAAATGCCAACATTATCGATGATGACTTTATTTACAAAAACCCAAATTTTTTGATGGCTGGCGATGAAATGGATGCGTGCACCTCACAACAGCAAGCAATCGTACGCAATGAACGCGATGAAAAATTGAAAGAAAAACTGTTGGCCGAATTGAATGTGCAACCTTCGGGAACGGATGACACGACGAGGCCTGAAGCCGACCAAATTGCGAGTACAAACGACGCCGAAGGGGAGGAAGAAAGTTCGATTTCAATTCATGAGGAAATTCCATCGATGCCAACATCGCCCACCGAAACGAGCAGCAAAAGTGACAGCATCAGCTTAACTGGCACCGGTGCCGGCAAACGAAAGAAGCGAAAAAATAAGGGGCGAAAAAAGTAGTCAAAAATAACCGAATCGTAAATGTATTTCGTTGCGCTGGATGCGATGCATGCCAGAGAAAAAAGATAGAGTTTAAGGTTGATTTTTTTTTTTCTGTTCAAAGTCTAATGCAACGCGTCTATATGTTGTTAGTCGACAAAATATATAGAGAAAAAAAAGAGAAAGAAACTTTGTAGATACATTTTTAGCGTGAGGATCCGAGTAAGAGCGTGTATGGATAATGTTGGATGCTGTATTTTGCTGCGTTGTGATTGGTTTTTATATTATAGGAAAATTAATAGGGAAATTGAAGGAAAATAGAACATTTCAAGCATTTAGCTGTATACATAGTGCATTTTAACATAAAATTGAAAATTGTCAAGCGTATCGAATACAAACGCCGGATTTTTTCCTTGCTTGTCGCTCGTTTCATTTCGCATTTGCTCATTCATTCATTTCAACAAACCGGAAATTATTGTTCGCGTTTAGATACCGATTCCCTTTCTATGTGTGTGTCTGAAAAACAAGACTTTTTATCACAACTAAACTCCGTACACAATTTTTTCATAGAAAAAAAAAAAAACAGCAGAATCTGAGACAAAAACACCAACCGTAAACCAATTGAGTTGGTTTATTGTGAGAACAGGAGCGGCAGCATCGTCAATGACTCATGAATGGTGGAGTATGTGTTTTTGTCGCTTTGTTTCGATCTCATTAGATATCAACCAGTCAAACGATAAAATTGTGCGCCATTGTTCTTATGTATTTAGCAAATATGCAGCGCAGTATGAAAAATGGAGAGAGAAAAACATCACATTCAAAACGAAAAATATAGCATCAAAAATACAATGCCATTTCAAACAATTTAAAAATGTTTCCACTTTGTTTCCACTTTTTATTATTTGTGTTATCATTCTATTTTATTCCAGCAATTTTTCCAGTTCGTTTTTTTTTTTCGTTGCGTTGCGTTTCGTTTCGTTCATTCGTGTGTCTGGCTGCATAAGTTGGGTAAAAACTCAAATAAATGTAAGCACACATGTCGCTATCAGCATTCCAATTTCATTTGCTGTCTTTTGATATTCATGTATGTGTGTGTGTGCTGCTGCTATTTTTTCTCCATTCTAGAAATTTATGTTCAATATGCGTATGAAATGCTATATTTTGCCTGTCTCCAACGAGACACACGGAAAAAAATACGGTAATAAAAACCACGTCGCAAAAATTCAAATGAAAGAAAAACACATTCACACACAGAGTGAGAGAGAAGGAGAACTAATGGCTAATAAGACTGTTGAACTCTTGTTTCTGATCATTTACAACGATCACATTTAGCGCACACGGTGCATGTTCCTTGTAATGCATACACACACACACACACAAAACAGCATTTAATTCCATTTCGCAGAATTTCGTATGCATTTCATCTCTCCCACGACACAGATTCCATGTTAAAATGTGTAGTTTGACGCTGGTCAAAAATAATGCACACGAATCAATTACGTTTGTTTGAAAATCAAGTCAAGTGGTTTGGGTGGTTGAAACATTCCATCGCAACGATGCACATACGAATTCAATTTGATGGAAACGACGAAACATGTTGAGATGTGCGCTATCAAGAATAATGTCGTAGGTGGACGGCGAAAAAGAGAGAGAAATAAAAACAAACGCTGTAAATATATAAGTGAAAGGCAATGATTATGATGTTAATATGGCCACTGGGTGCATACACAGGTTGGGTCAATGCACCGGTGACGTTGCTGCTGCTACTACTACTGTTGCTACTGCTTCATCGATTGAACGCGATGCGTCGTCGTTGGTGCGAACGAATTGAATGTTTGGTGCTTCGGTTGCACTGATTCTAGTCGCTTTGGGTGTATACTGTATATTCACATCGGATAGTAATCATTACACGTACAATAAATCGATTTCGTCTGATTCGTGTGTCGATTCTGCTCCACATTTTCCTAGTACATCGTTGCAAATGAACTGAGAGTGAGTGTAGCGAATATACTGTGTGCGAGTGCACTTTTCATTTGCCGTTTTTTCCCCATTTTTCCCGTTCTTAATTCCTTCAACATTTGAACTTTTAAGATTCAATTACGATAGTTTTTAGCGGATATTACGTGCTAGTGTGGTAGAATTTTGTGAACATTCGCAATCTTATCGTTCTCTTCCTTTTTTATTATTGTATTTCAAGCCGATTCAATTAAAAATTCCAGCCACAGAATCAATTGGTAGAAAATCAAGACGATTCTCTGTTCGACATTCTAAAAATCTGTTGAATTTTTTTTTTGTCTCGTCTTCAGTCCCATTATTCAAAGAGATAACATGGTTTTAAGTGCATTTATATTATCATTAATCGTGTCTCTGCTTTAACAATAAAACATGGCCTTAAAATTGTGTATTTGATGGCTTTATCATGAATAGAAGGAATTAAATATAAGGATAAACACATATAATCTCGTTTAAAAATGCAGAAATCATTTATTTTAATGGAAAAAAGTGAAAAAAAATTCTAAATCTCTATGAAATCTACTACATATATTAGAGTAAAAACAAAAAGAAAAACAGAAACGAAGAACAAAATACGAAAAAAATTAGTAAATAAATGCATTTCTAAACAAAATAACATGGCATATTCTTAACATTTTCATTTGCTGTCTTACTTACGCTTGTTTAATTATTCAACGACGAAGAATATGGAATAGGTAAGCTTCTAAGGAAGGTGAGTGCTTTGACGATGACGATGAGTGCGCACATTTTACTCCGTAAACATCTGAAATTCACTTTTATCCTCTATGTGTCGCTTTAATGCCCGTAAATTACCTGCTGCCAGCCCATTAAATAGACGTTTTCCAAATGCAACTATTTGAGCCATTCTAAAATAACTGTATTTAAGCAGTGTATCGCTTTATTTTTCTCTTGAGGAAATAACAAATAACACGAAAATTAAAAGTGGAAACCTGTACTCATTGTGACCTGGAAAATATTCTGAAATATAGCACACACACACACACACAGACGAAGAAAACCCGGCTGGCTGACTGACTGACACAAAAGATGGTTTAATGTTCATAAACAACTCAAGTGCTATAGAGAGAGTACTGCTAAAAGTGGGAAGCACACACAGATGGATATCATTGGCTCGATGGTTGATGTTGATTTTATAAATCTTGTTGTCGTAAATTGGCTATTATATCGAGCGACACAACAAAAAACTGAATCATGCCCAATAAGCAAACGGGCCACTGTACAATGCTTTAATAACGATGTTAAGCCCAACGAAAATAATGAGCCATTGTGTTTGCCAGTGGCCATGTGTTGAACCGTAAGTATTGGATCGAGTCGTGTGCTCTTCTTTCAATCGCCCTCTCTCTCTCTCTTTCTTTCTCTCTCTGTCTCCCTCACACACACTGCGCCTGTTCTCTCACCATCTGTGACTGTGTGCTAGTAGTTTTACATCGTGAACAATAACAATGATGATGTGAGCACTTGGTTTTTGATTACAATCTATCAGTTGGGACATGCGAATAGAAAACTGCTTCTGCTTCTTTCCGGGCACATGGCCAAGTGAAACGATATCGAAGCGATAAATAAATGTAAGACAGGCCCATACCTTGAACTTGAGCATTTATTGCATCACGTCCAAAATTTCTTGTCTTCTTTTAGTTTTTTTACGTTGCTTCTTGTGTCCAAACATTTTCTTTCTCTTTCACGCATTATTTTGTGGATAGTCCTTTTTAGCTACGTTATTATTGTTTGAGGATGATTATTTTGCTGATTCATCCGTGAATCCTTTTGAGTTTTATTCTACGCATCTTGAAATCGAACAATAGAACACTGAAGTTTTTCACTTGGAATTCGCAATTTTTCGTCCCCTCTGCGAGAATTCGATAGAAAGTCCCTCTCACATGACAAGTTCGAAAACTAACATTTTACGGAGTCAAATGGACTCCCTCTATCTCGATCATTAAATCGACTCGAATATCTCGAATTGATTTTTATGGTTGCCTGAAGATAGCTGATGCGTGAAATGTTTTATGTTAAATCTGCAGCAATTGTCCCAACAACAACATCGTTCCATGCTTTCATTCCATCGTTTTCTCCATCTTTTTTTCGCTGTAATTATGAGAAAATCATTTCTGTTATTCATCGCTTTTACGTGCCTCATTCCGTTGTGCCGTTTGCCATTCATAAACAGAATAACGATATGATTATTCTCTCTGTATAAAATACGAGCGCCTTGTTTGCTTCCACACTTTCATTCTCTTGTTTGGTCTCCATTTTGCTCGACTATTCAATGCTGTGTGTCTTTGTTTAACTTTTATTCTCGGCCATTGCTCGCAGATTGTTTTACGATTGCCGATACAAATTGGCACTGTAATTGAAAACAGCAACGACTCAATACAAAACGACCAGACAACATATCACACAACATAAATGGACCTACCAGCCTCCTTCATGCCATGCACCCAATGTAATTCATTAATTTTTATGTTGTCGTAAACGGAACAACGTCCGCATTGAAAGAGGAAGAGAGTGAGAGCAGTGAAGAGATGGCAAGACCAACACACCAGTTGAACCGTCGCCACTGTGTTTTCTTGATTGAAAATAAACCGTCAGCGTGGGCTTCAGTTCGTTTTGTCTGTTTGCCCTTTTTATTTTGCCAATAACACCAATTATTTCCACAGCAAAATTTAATGTGCAATGAAATACGTGGCCGATTAAGTATTATTTAATTACAATAAGCTTCATTTATATCACTTGATTTATGCTATCATTTTTGAACGCCATTTCCCCCTGCAGCGAATGCGAAACATTTTAATTTGGGAGCTTGCAATAACAATTTCAGATGAAAATCTAATTGTAAGTAAATGGAAGTGAAAACAATGAGGTTTCCATGTAATGACGCATTCACCAGCAAAAAGTGTGTTTCTAATGAATCCGTTCACATTCAACGTACTCTTCAAATTCCGTCTCATTTTGACGCAAATCCCACATTTGCATAAAAAAAATATCAGCGTAGGTTGTGCACAACACACGCACAACAAGTGTGTAAATGTGAAATAAGGGCACCAAAACAATAATTGAGCATCAAATGCTCACCGCTGGTGAACAAAAAAAAAACAACAATAACTGAAAAAAGGTGGATGAAGAGAAAAAAGTTGTCCACCCTGCCGCGCGCGTTAAACGTCAGTTAAAAGCTTTATGTTTGCCATAAAATTGTGATCGATTGATGTTTTTGCCCGAGATATTTATGTTCATTGATTAGAATTTTGCGTGGCTATCGTGCGCGTCGTTTTACACATATATGCATTTCAATCGTTTTACGTGAGTCACGGGCAATAAACACAAAAACCCACACAACTGTAACGCATCGAGAGGAAAGCTGGTTTCGCACCAAATCCATAACGAATGATGAATAATAACGTACCAATAAAGCTAAACTTGTTCGGAAGTTTCATCCTTTTTTGCTGTGTATTAAGCGCATACATTTTATTTGTCTCTATCCGGCAAATCTGCCAAAATCACCAGCTGTGGCCAACACATGATGATTCCCATTTCGAATACGTATGAAAATTGCACCTCACCAACAGGGTGAAATTGAGTTTGTTGATTCATGTTTTTGCCGCCGGAAATTATTATTCAACGATGGTGGCAAATGAGGGCAACAACTTTTTTCTCTCCTCACATTGAAATGAATGAATAAAAGTTAGTACTTGAAAGAACCATCGCATAGAACCACTTCATATGCAGGCGGTTTTGTTTTTCTTGTTTTTATGCACGCGAAAGTACTATTTTTCAGTAGTAACGCGCGGAAAACAGCAATCCCAAATTCGAATCAGGCCAATTAAATTAATTCGTGTTTAAAGCTTTAAAATCGTTTCCAATAATTTTTTTCTTCAAAAAATGCTCAATGGCACCATCAGCAGCAATAAAAGGAGAACGACCATAATTTATTATCGACGAATTTGTCCGGAGCGTGGATCGATTCATTTTTTGGTGCGCGCCTAATCGATCCAATCAGTAACATAGAATCATTTTTATCCAGCTAATGCGCGGCAATATTTGAATGAAATCAAAAAATCAATGCTGCGCAATTTGTCGATAGTGCCAAATGATTGCGATGGTTTGAGCGCGCAATGTTTTTACCGTCACTTGTAACAATGCACTTCATTTTTATGCAAACGCTTTTGAAATTTAATTTTGCCAATTAAATATTGAAATTTCACACCCTAGAAAATGTCAGCGTTTGCTGTTTTTTTTTTTCGTTTGCCATCGTTCATTTCGGCGCAGCTGATTATTTTCTCCAACGATTATGCATGCAGCACGTCGATGACTGAGTGATGGAAATTTATTGAATTCAAGTACATATAATCACTTCATGCCACTATCGCCGCCATTCGAATCTCATCCAATGTTTTTGATGGAAATTTTTTTTCCTCCATATAATTTCATTTTGGTGTGTGTTTTTGAAGCTGCGATTGCCTTTCCTCTTTCAGCTACGTGCGGCCCGTTTTTTTCTGTGGGTTGTCGTTGTTGTTTGTGTTCGATTCGGCTGGTTTCGAATGTGTATTTTCATTCTCTTTGCGGTTTAACTGGCCGGAAATTGATTGATAAACGTTGTTAAATAGGTTAAATGTTCGGCCGCGCACGCGAATTTGGAAAAGCACACGCATTCATTTCGAAATGAATCGCTCCAGCTCTTCTTCCGCACACGAAACATTTGTATACAAACATACAATGTAAAAAGATCGAAAAAAAAGGCGTCAAACCATTATACGAACCATGGAAACATATCAAATCTCTTTTTTGGCGTTTTTATCATTTCATAGCGGAAACCAACCTCTATCTCTTTTTCTAGCCCGCTCCTTCTCTCTCTCTCTCTCTTTCCCGCTGGCTGTTCGTTTTTGTCACATTGCCGCACTTTGTCCAAATAACCATGAGCTTCGATTAACGATAAAGCACATAATGATATATACAACTTATTTTAACTCATAATCTCAATTGATGAACATGTTACTCGTGCTTTTTCCGCAGCTCATGAACAATCGACCAAACTGAAAATGATTGCCTTTTTGTCAATCAAATTGTTTCAATAACAAGTTATTCTAAAGCAAAAATTGCTTTTCTCCATTGTTTCACATGGAATTGAATTTAGCGACACATATGATAGGGTCTGCGATAGAAGTTGCGAGCGACACATGTGGGAGTGAGTGAGTGGAAGAGAGAGGCTGATACAAAGAAAATGGGAGAAAAAGGGAAATGAAGAGCGAGGGGATGAGCACTTGGGATAATTATTTTTTGATCCTGACAGCTTATGCACTGGCACATCCAAAACCACCTTTTTAATAATAATATAAATAAAGCATGTAATTCTTCGTAAGGGCATTTTCCACCCTGTTTAACTTTATCAAAAGCCTCGGTCATGGCATCCATTATGTAAGCAGTTCGGATTTCATTTTCATCGTAGTTCGCCATAACACTTAACCACTGCACCTTGGTTGGACAATTGCGTTCATTTTGCACTTGGTTGCATCGCATCGTATGCCATATGCAATTGCGTAGGGCACAGTACGAATGAGATATCCAGCAGCGACAAACACACAACTAGAGCTCATTTTC